TACCAAGTGCTGGGATTATAAGCGTACACCACCAACACCCTGCTTTCCTATGGCTTGCTAATAGCTCTGACCCCTGGGCAACTTTATTTATTAACATACAATTAAAATCACATTTCAGTACAAATAAAATAGCACCATAGGTGAAAATATTTTGAGACGTCTAAAGTTGTTCCGTTGGCTCAAAGTTATCTCTTAGTTTGTTGTGCTATGAGGACAAACCATTTAAAAAACATATTTATGTGTCTATAATCACTTTGTTGTGGCACTCTGACAAATAACCCTCCTTACACTAAGCTCTGTCTGTCTGTCTGTCTGTCCAGTTTAATTAGTTGACAGATCCACTCAATTCCCCCTCCTGGTTATAGAGGATATGGGAAAAGAACTGCCCAGTAGGATACCCACCCTGCAGGAAGGCATGGTTCACTCCTTTGGGTGAAGCTGCAACAGAGCAGTGAGAAGTTTAGATTTGTTTAAGCAATGGATCAGCAACCAGCTCTAGTTCGACTCATCTTCTGGAAGAGACTAGTCAAGACAATCCAATTGTTTGGTGAAACACTTCTCTGTGGATTGAGAAGCTTGCATGTTACTGTATGAACAGTTGGCCTGGCTTCAGTGGACTCTCCACAGTGTGGTCTTTGTCTATACACTGTTGGCTGGGCTGAAGGCCATAGTGAGCTCTCGCCTTTAGAAAGCATTGAGAAAGTAACTACAGAGCCAAAGAAATTCTTTTCATTTTTGGTTTTTTTAGTTTTTACACTTCTGATTAAGAAATGCTGTGGATCATGCGATCAAGGTGGAGAGGCATGGTCCACGATTTCACCATTTTCTCCCAAGCAGTTGGTAGAGCTACAAGGGAGGCAATCACATGGGCTTTGGGAAGGAAGTTCCTGTGTGAAGGATCTTATTCTTCCAATGCTGAAAGTTTAAAGTTTATCCAAGCTTCAAGTATTTAGTTTAAGAGGAATGGATGTAGAAAAAAATGTTTCTCATTTGAAAAATTTGAGAGAGGTCTTCTGAATATCAGTGGGAGTGGGCTGGATGGAATTTTTCAAACTGAAAATGTCATGTTCATGTGCTCTAAACACTGGAGACTCCCTTGTGGAATGCAGAAACTGTAACAGTGGGAGGGCTCCAATACCATTCTTTCTGTGTCTGTAAAGTAAAAGGGGCAGATGCAGAGAGAAGAGGATTGTGAAACCCAGGAGCCACATGCAAATGCAGGGTGTTATGGTATGTGTTTGTAATGCCTGCACTAGGAGTATTCCTGGGGCTGACTGGCCAGCCAGTCCAGCCTAATTGATCTGACCCTAGCCCCAGGCTTGTAAAGCATCCTACATCAAAGGAGACTGTCAGTGTTCAAGGAGTGGCAGAATAACACCTGAGATTCTCCTTTGGTCTACACACACACACACACACACACACACACACTACACACGCAAGTAACACATGAACATGCACACATGTGCACACATACCAGAGTCAAATTATAAAGAAAACCTTGTTAATTGTTCTTTTCCTTGCATTGTAGAGCTCCATACTAAATCCATGAGAGGCCTTCTTGCTCACCTGAGCCTATGACAATGCATAGATGGCCACAGAAAATCATGCAAGGGAGTTTCAACTCCAAGAGATTCAGGCTAGTTTGTCCTCCTATTTTGTTTTGGATTATTAGAATGACAACTGAGAGCACCCCATCTAGCTAGATTTTGACAGAGAGTACTAAAAGAAGCCACGCATACAAGATTCATACATGTGCAAAAAACATCACAAAGATTCCTGCAGCAGAAGATGAATACAGTTGTTAATTTTCTATTTAAATCTATGAACTTTTTGCTCTGTTCCTTCTGAAAGTGGAAATAGAATTGTAGCTGGCTGCCTGTCTTTAGAAAGTTGGCCAGCATTTCCGGGTAACTAGTAATATTTCTTTCTATGCTCTTAAGGTGAATTTCCTCTCAATACTTTAAGGATTTCAGCTCTTGGACTCACACCACATTATGTTTCTTAAAACAGAAAATGATTTTTTCTGTACAAGGCTGTGTTAATACAAATACAGATTAAAAGTCCACAAACATAGTTTTGGTTCTTGGTCAAAGCCTTGGCTATAGTCCTGTTCATTCCATTCTTTACTTTTACCCCTCAAGTTCAGCCTACATGCTTAAAGTAGGCATGACTGTTAGCCTGCTCCAGACTGTTTAAAGCAAAGTGACATCATTGAAGCTGGGCCCATCCATCACTGATGGTCCATTCCTTCAATTCCAGCACTCAGAAGGCAGAGGCAGGAAGATTGCTAAGAGTTCCAGGTCAGAAAGAGCTACATAAAAACCTTCTCTCAAACAAACAAAACTATGTTATACTTGAACATCGGCCTTCATTTTCAATAACCCGGCTGTTAGATTTTCCTTTCTTCAGGTTACATGGAAAGTTTTTAGTCACTGTTTATTAGTAGAATCTCTTAGCAGCTCCAAGGAGTGCCACTATCCAGGATCTGAGTGTTCCGGGTCTTACTGTCCCTCAGCAGTGGTCAATGAGCAATTACTGAGACAAGTCTGAAGGCATGTCTGGTGGCATGGTCACCTCAGGACCAGCTGTGCTTCCAGCTGCTGCAATGCCTAGAACCCATTATGCTTACACTAGCATTGGTAAGGTGCTGTACAGGCGATGTTCTATTTGGCCTTCAGAGTGGCGTTTGCTTGTCTATTTGCTTTAATTTATATCATTTCTAAGCCTAGGGTAAAAATCAGGAAATTGCACGTGAAAATGACTGTCGTACTAAAGAATACAGAAAGAGAATAGTTAAGGATACAAAGATGGTACCCACTGTACCATAGACAGGCAGTGCACATTGATATCATTTCACGTGCATTAAAATATCCAAAACCTGCCCTGCAGTGGTGGCATGGATACAATGAGACATTTATTTTGGAAGACACTAACATGTTTTTAACATATGGCCCAGTGCTTCTAGCCCCTTGGAATTTTCCCCGAAGACTTGAGAAATGACAATAATACAGTAACGTCTGCATGCATGCACATTTATATCAACTTTATTGATAATTGGTAAAAAGAAGTTGATCACAACCTGCTTCACTGGATGGATAAATAAAAATATCCATATTTTTTACATAGTGCTGAAGCTGAGATGCAATGAAAGAAATATTACTATTTCTAAGGAGAAGAAAATAACTTGAAATCAATGTACACTTTATGATCCCAAATACTGTGAAAAAGGCAAAAAACTATGGTGACTGTAAAGAGAACAGTTGTCATGAAGAGTTGAGGATGCAGACAAATGGCTAACAGAGAATCTTGGCAGAAGTGAAAATACCCTGTATAATATTGGCCATGGTAGTCGAAAGGACTTGGTGGACTGTGGTAAAGGTCAACTTCAAAGTCAGTCTGGACTATATAGAAAGGCCCTGTCTCAACACACACACACACACACACACACACACACACACACACACACACACACACACACAGAGAGAGAGAGAGAGAGAGAGAGA